TTATATTATGGTAATATAATTTTTCGTCATCCGATCATGTTCGAGCCGAAACCGTGCGCCCGTGAGCCGCGCCCAAGTGCCGTGGAGCAGGCCGTTTTTCCCTCTTCCCTCATCCTTCCTTGTGATATTTTGGGAAGTGCTAATTTGTGGAGAATTTCCTTAATCCTTATGCTATTAGTATGGCAAATGGCTTGATTTAAGGGATCCTTTTTTTCAAACCTTATGGAAAGCATAAAAAGGAGAGATCTCCTTCTCCTCCTCATTCCTTTTTAGCCGCCGACCCCCCTCCATCTCTCTCCCTCTCTTCCGATCTCTCTCTCGCTCTCAGCCCCTCCCTCGGCCTCCCGTCCGTCGCGCCAAGGCCACGCGAGCTCTCCCTCCGGCCGTCGCAAGTGCCCAGCAGGTGGCCCCGTCTCGCTCGCAAGTCCCAGACCTCCGTTCGTGCACCCCCCGTCGATCCCGGCGCCCAGCAGACGCGCACGAGACGCCCCGGCAGCCCGCGCAAGTCGCCAACGCCCGCAAGGCCGTCTCCCCGCGCAACCGTGACTCCCTCGGCCCTCCTACCCTTCTCTCGTGCGATTTATCCCGAGAACGGTACAAGGCTGATATTTCTCTTTATTTTAGTAGTTATATGCTTAATAATAAAGCCTTGTGGGGAGATCTTATGTTTAAGTTCATTATATGATCGGTTTTGCTCGTATTTTAATTGATTATGTTATTCGAATGGGATCTCTTGTTAAATCGTGTTATGTGCTGTGGATCTATGGAACACTTGAAGTCTTTGGCCTTATGATGAAGGCCTTAGACGAAATTATTGGTTAATTTAATTGTTGTGCATTTTTGAATCGTATTGTACTGCTGGATCTTTGAAGAATCATTTAAAATTATATACCCGTCCGATTGCTGTGAAATTTGAACTGTACAACCCTTTGATGATGTTATATGTCGTGTAAAAATTTCAAGTTAATCTAAGATCGGTAGCTATGTTAATTGCCAATTTAAAGATCTGACAAGAAACTTGGAAAAATCATTAAAAATCGAGTACT